AATTTTCTTTTTTCATTTTTGTCTTTATTTAATAAATAATATTTTTCAAGTTAATTGTAATACTTAAAAGTGAATTTGTTTGATTCAATATAATCTTAGCAAAACTTCTAAATATAATTTATAATATTAATAAATTAATATATATGCATTTCAATGTACTTAATTTAATATTTATTATTAATAATAAATAATTATTTTTAATTTTATTTCATTCTTAAATTAGTTTTGAAAATAACAAATATATATATATATATATATATACTATTATTTTATAATGAAAAAAAAAAAAAAAAAAAAAAAAAAAAAAAAAAAAGTTAAAAAATTAAATTAATATTAAAATATTATAAATTGCGAAAATTTTATATTTTATTTATTTTATTTATTTATTTTATACTTTAAGTTTAGTTATTAAATTTTAATTTACCTTATTTTTAATTTAGTTTTAGTTTTTCTGTTTGATTGTTCCATTATCTTCAAAAGTTTTTATAAGCTATTTTAATATTAAATATTATATATAAATTAAAATAAAATTAACAGTTATTTATTTATTAAAATTATTTCCAATAAGTTTATTTAATTTCTTAAAATACTAAATTTTAATTTTTAATTATTTTTAAACATTTATATTATATATTAATAAATATATTATAATTATTTAATTTAATAAATATATAATATATATTTAATTAATATATCTATTCAATTAATATATCTATTTAATTGAAGTGATATTGATAATTTTATAAATAATTTATAAATATTTTATATTGTAAATTATTATACAATATAGAAAATTTTGAAAAATTTTGTCAGATTGATTTCGTGGTGTAGTCGGTTATCACGTCTGTCTAACACACAGACGGTCCCCGGTTCGAATCCGGGCGAAATCATTATTTGACAGCATGTCCGAGTGGTTAAGGAGTGTGACTAGAAATCACATAGGCTCTGCCTGCGCAGGTTCAAGTCCTGCTGCTGTCGTTTTTACTTTATTTTTATTATAAAAATGCAATTATACATTTAATTTTATATATTAAAAAACTCAAAAAAAAAAAAAAAAAAAAAACTCAAAAAAAAAAAAAGTTAATATTAAAATGCAATATGAAATTTTTAAAAATTGTTATTTTTTTTTTTTTTTTTTTAATTTTTTTATTTTTTATTTTATTTTTATTTTTTTTTTGTTTTGTTTTTATTTATTTATTTATTTTTTTATTTTCATTTATTTATTTGCATTTTTATTTTCTTTTTTATTTTTATTTTATTAAAAACAAAAACAAAAAACAAAAATTAAAATATAAAAAAGCGCCCAACGTGGGGGTCGAACCCACAACCTTGAGATTAAGAGTCTCACGCTCTACCGATTGAGCTAGCCGGGCAAATGAAATGCTCTGTGCAGGGGTCGAACCTGCGACCTTGGCGTTATTAGCACCACGCTCTAACCGACTGAGCTAACAGAGCTATTTTAGCTTTGTTTCGAAAAATATTTTTGAAATAGGGTATATTATTTAATATATTATATAATATATTATTTATTATTATTTATTATTATTTATTATTATTATTATTATTATTATTATTATTATTATTATTATTATTATTATTATTTATTATTATTTATTATTATTTATTATTATTTATTATTATTTATTATTATTTATTATTATTTATTATTATTTATTATTATTTATTATTATTTATTATTATTTATTATTATTTATTATTATTTATTATTAATACTTAAATTTATAAATTAGAAATATAATATAATACACATATATTATTGTATTATGTAGTTCATACTATCAAAAAAATATTTAAATAAAATTATAATTAATTTGAATATTTGTAATATTATATTATTCTAATAAATTTAGAAATATTTAATTTTTATTTTATTTTTAGCAAAAAAAAATATATTTTAAGTAATAATATTAAAAAAATTTTTTTTATAATATTTTGTAAGTATTAAAACGAATATTTTATTTTTAATAAAAAAAAATCAAAAGTAAAGAAACTAAAAAAAAAAAAAATACTATAAAAGAATTTATTATATATTAAAATAATAATAATAATAATAATAATAATAATAATAATAATAATAATAATAATAATAATAATAATAATAATAATAATAATAATAATAATAATAATAATAATAATAATAATAATAATAATAATAATAATAATAATAATAATAATAATAATAATAATAATAATAATAATAATAATAATAATAATAATAATAATAATAATAATAATAATAATAATAATAATAATAATAATAATAATAATAATAATAATAATAATAATAATAATAATAATAATAATAATAATAATAATAATAATAATAATAATAATAATAATAATAATAATAATAATAATAATAATAATAATAATAATAATAATAATAATAATAATAATAATAATAATAATAATAATAATAATAATAATAATAATAATAATAATAATAATAATAATAATAATAATAATAATAATAATAATAATAATAATAATAATAATAATAATAATAATAATAATAATAATAATAATAATAATAATAATAATAATAATAATAATAATAATAATAATAATAATAATAATAATAAATAAATAAATAAATAAATATTATTATTAAATTTTATTAATCTATATCAAAGCAGTTGATAAATAATTATTAATTAATTAATAATTAATACGAAATATTAAAATTAAAATCTAAACTAGTCAAAGACTAGGATTTTATAAATTATATTGTAATATTATTATTTAATATTAAATATTGTGATTAATAATTTCATACTAAATTTAAATATAATTTTAAATTATATCAATGTTCTAAAATATTCTAAAATATTCTAAAATATTCTAAAATATTCTAAAATATTATATATTAATGATGGAAATATTTTACTATGGGTAAAATACTTTAATTACTATCTATTGTCTGAAAGCCTAAAAGGATCTAAGGAAAATAAAACAGGAATATTAAAATTTTTAAATGCGGGCTGTTAGTTCAGTTGGATAGAACGCTTGACTACGGATCAAGAGGTCGCAGGTTCAAGTCCTGCATAGCTCGTTTTGATTTCGTGGTGTAGTCGGTTATCACGTCTGTCTAACACACAGACGGTCCCCGGTTCGAATCCGGGCGAAAATCATTTTTTTTACATCATTTTCTAGATATAAATTAAAAAATGCTAAAAAAAAAGAAAAAATTTAATATTTTTAATTTAAATTATTATAGCAAATATTAATTTTCGTTTCTCAAAATATTTTCGTTTTCGTAAAATAAAAGAACTAAAATGTACAATACATATAAATATATTTAGCTTTAGCAATAAAAAGAAACTGCCAAGAGTGAGGTTCGAACTCACGCCTCTTTCGAGACCGCATCTTAAGTGCGGCGCCCTTAGACCGACTCGGCCATCTTGGCTAAATATAAGTTTATTTTTCTTTTTAATTTATTTTAAGATCAGTTTCTTTTCATTTAATTATTTTTTTAATTTAAAAAATTAAATCTATAGCATATTATAATTTTATGGTACTATTAATGGAAAAATAAATTGATATATGTCTAAACGAACAAATAATAATAAAATTAATTATTAATGTTATAATAAATATAATTATATTAAGTATATGGATAAATTATGTTTAATGATATAGTATAATATTATTAATAAAGATTATAAGTAAACTTTTAATAATAATAATAATAATAATAATAATAATAATAATAATAATAATAATATATATGTATTTATTTATTTATGCTTTTCCAGTTTTAAATTTTATAATTAATCTTATAATCTTATAATCTTATAATTTGAAATATCTATAAAATAAATTAATTATAATAAAATGTAATAATAAAAAATATTTATATTTATATTTATATTTATAAGAATGCCAATGATTTTTCTAAAGCATAAATAAAAAAATATTTATTTTTAAATAATTATTATTATATAATTTTAATAAAAGATCAAATATAATAGCATTACTAAGTATGAATAATGAATTAAAATAGTAAATAAATAAAATATATAATAAAATAAAAATCTGTAACTAAAAATAATTGTTGAAATAATTATGTTTATTGATATATATTATATGTACTTAGGATAAGTCTTTCTTTTCAACAGAATTCGGAAAAAACAACTAAGGCATTGATGGTTTTAGTGGTATAATTTACCGCATGCCACGCGGTAGACCCGGGTTCGATTCCCGGTCAATGCATTTGCTTCATGGCTCAGTCGGCAGAGGCATCCCCCTAGTAAGGGGAAGGTCATCGGTTCGATTCCGATTGAAGGCATTATTTTATTTATTTTATTTTTTTTTTTTTTTAATTTCAAAAGTAATATATAAAGTTAAATTTTTAATAATTATTGCATTTCATCAGTGTATATGTTAATTTACAAAATTAGAAAAGTTGAATTTCATCTTATAATATTTTAACTTTTACATTTAATTAAATTATTTATAATGTTTTAACTTTCACATTTAATTAAAATTATTTACAGTTTTAATTTATGTTCTATACAAGGAATTATTATTTATTACGATATTTTTTTTTTTTTTTTTTTTTTTTTTTTTTTTTTATCTATTATGAATTAAATATTTTCACACTTAATATTAAATAAATAAATAATTAATTACGCAATTATTAAAGTTAACATATACATTTTTAAAATAAAAATTAAAATAAATAAAATAATAAATATAAATATATATATATATATTTATAATTATTATATAATATATTTTAAACTTAAATATTACTAATTTTTTTAATTTAAATCAAAATTTCATTTTAACTTTAAATTGTATATTTGATATTAATTTAAAAATACCAAATGATAAAATCAAACTAAATTTTATTTTCTATATTTTTATGGGGTTGTTAGTTGTTTAAAAATAAATTTAAAAACAAGATAAGGCTCATTGGTCTAGTAGTATGATTCTCGCTTGGGTGCGAGAGGTCCCGGGTTCAATTCCCGGATGAGCCCCTCTTTTTTAATTTTGACTTTTTATAATAGTTATTACTTTTATAAATTCATTTTTAAAATCTACTGATAATTAGTATCAGAATTTAAATAAAAGAGCGAAGCAAAAATATTTTGAAAAAAAGTAATAAATGTATTAAAATATTAATTTTATTCATAATTTTAGCAATATTTTATAATTTAAATAATAAATATATATAAATATAAATAAATATCTAAATATAATTAATTAATACAAATAAAGGAATAAATACTATCTTAAAATCATATATTAATAATAAATTTAAACACTTATCAATTATATTAAATTGTAAGGTATACAAGAATATTATATATTTAATAATTTACTAAATATGGTTCTATAGTGTAGCGGTTAGCACATTGGACTTTGAATCCAATAACTCGAGTTCAAATCTCGATAGGACCTAATTTTTAATTATATTTTTAACAATTTTTAACAATTTTAACAATTTTAAAAATTACTAAATATTAATATATTAACTTTTATTTTTATCTTTATCTTTAGTTTTTTAGCATTTAATAATAATAATATTTTTTGTAAAAAAAAAAAAAAAGAAAATATTCTAATAAAAATAAAATTATATTGTTAATAAAAAAAATGAAAAAGGCTTACTCCCAGGCGGGGAATTGAACCCCGGTCTCCCGCGTGACAGGCGGGGATACTCACCACTATACTACCTGGGATGGCTTTAAATTATTTTTTGATCTTATTTTGTCATATACACTATGTCACCGAATTTTAAAGTATGATCATGTAATTAAAGCATTTAATTAGAATTTAGAATTTCATTAAATAAAATATATTCAATATAAATTTATTTCAACATTTAAATCATGTTATACTTATTTAATTGTATTTTGTACTTAAATTTAATTGTATTTTGTACTTAATTTTAAAGATAAAGATTTTTATGAAAACTTAATTTTTTATTTTTATTATTTTAATAAATATATATAAATATATATAAATTAAATATATAATATTTATAAATATTAAGAATTAATCAATAAAACATACTATAATATTGAAATTAAAATAAATATTATATTATTCAATTATTTAATATTATATAATCAAAAATGTATAATTCATTTTTAATTATTTGCTTTTGACTTTTTTTTATTTTTATTTTTATTGCTTTCTTTTATTTTATTTATTATTTTATTTATTATTTTATTTATTATTTTATTTATTATTTTATTTATTATTTTATTTTATTTTTATTTTTATTTTTATTTTATTTTTATTTTATTTTTATTTTTATTTTTATTTTTATTTTTATTTTTATTTTTATTTTTATTTTATTTTTATTTTTATTTTTATTTTTATTTTAATATATTGTATTCGAGTTTAAATGATATTTAATTGTTAATTAATTATTTCATTTTCAGTTGAATAATAATTCATAAATTTAATTTTTATCTCCATAATTATTTATAAATTTATTTTTTAAAAATTTTTTTCATAAATACTACATAAAAACAAAAATTATTTTATAACCATTTGATTTTTAGTAGTACAAGATTTATTCTTAATTTTAATCATAGGCAAGCTCTGTTAGCTCAGTCGGTTAGAGCGTGGTGCTAATAACGCCAAGGTCGCAGGTTCGACCCCTGCACAGAGCAAACTGAATGTAAAATTGCCCGGCTAGCTCAATCGGTAGAGCGTGAGACTCTTAATCTCAAGGTTGTGGGTTCGACCCCCACGTTGGGCGATATTTTTTGGTAGTATTCTTTTAATCAAATAGCCTAAGTATATATAAATATTTTAATTAAACTACTTTTTAATGTATATATATATATATATATATATTTTAATTAAACTACTTTTAATATATATATATAATATATATTTTTAATTAAACTACTTTTAATATATATATATAATATATATTTTAATTAAACTACTTTTTAATATATATATATGTTTTAATGATAAATCAATATTTATATATATAATAAATAATAAGTTATGACTAACCACTAGTTTCATAAATTAAATTTTAAATTTGAACTATATAATATATATATTTTTATTTTTATAAATTACATATATATATAATATTTTTCTTATTATATATAAATATATATATATTAATGAAATATTAAATAAATAAATTGTATATTGTTATTAATTGAAAATATTTAATATGATAACTATAATTTTATAACATTTAAAATTTTAATACAATGAATTATTTTTAATTTAAAATTATTTGTCTAATGTTTATTTTAATATTAATATTTATTTTGATATTAATATTTATTTTGATATTAAAATTTACTAATATCTTAAAATAGATATTAATTATTATGAATTATCAAATTTTAAACTTAAACAATATATTTAAATAAATTAATATATTTTCTTATTTAAGAAAATTTAAAAACAAAAAATAATAAATAATATATATATATAAAATTTTTTTTTATCATAAGAATTTCCAAAAATTATTAAGTAATATAACGAAAAAAAAAAAAAAAAAAAAAAAAAAAAAAAAATTTAAAGCAGGAAAAAACAAAGCAGAAAGCGTAGCCCTGTTAGCTCAGTTGGTAGAGCGTGCGGCTTTTAACCGCAAGGTCGGGGGGTTCGAGCCCCCCATAGGGGCGTAGCTCTTATGGCGCAATTGGCTAGCGCGGTTCGGCTGTTAACCGAGAGGTTGGTGGTTCAAGCCCACCTAGGAGCGTTTCTTTTTTATTATTTCATAAAATAATATTGTATTTATTAATTTTTTACAATTTAAAGCACTAAATTAGCATAATTTTTTTTTTTTTTTTTTTTTTTTTTTTTTTTTTTTTTTTTTTTTTTTTTTTTTTTTTTAAATTAAATATATTATCATTGAATTAATAAATAATTTATTATTATTCGTTGTATTTTATGAGATAAAAAAGATTTATATAAAAATATAAAAAATATAAAAAAAATAAAAAAATATTAATATTAAAAATAAAAATAAAAATAAAAATAAAAATAAAATAAAAATAAAAAATAAAAAATAAAAATATTGTATTGCTATTGACTATATTATTTATTAAAGTAAAATAATTATTAAATGTTGTCTTTTACGTAGTAAATTATTATACCATTATATTAAAATGAATAAAATAATTTATTTTATATTTTACTAACCTATAATTATTAATTTAAATAAAAAAAATAAGGTTCAAAATGGAGAATCCGGGCGTCGATCCCGGTGCCTCTCGCATGCTAAGCGAGCGCTCTACCATTTGAGCTAATTCCCCTTCTTTGATAATATTTCTATGTTGTCTATACTTGTGGTACGAAGTAAATTTATAATTTTATTATTATTATTATTGTTATTATTATCATTATTATCATTATTATCATTATTATCATTACTTTCATATTATCATTATTATTATTACTATCACTATTATTGTTATTATTGTTATAAATATTATTATAATTGTTATTAATATTATTATTATTTTTATTATTTAATTTTGGTATAAGTTGTTTTATCTATTTAATTTTTTATCTAAATAAATTAAAATTGTAATTTTTATAATTTTTATTACTTTTAAGATTGTATTTAATTTTTGTAATTTTTATTACTTTTAAGATTGTATTTAATTTTTATAATTTTTATTACTTTTAATAATGTATTTATTTTTAATTAATTATATAAAAGAAAAGTCTAATATAAAATAAGCAAATAAATAATGTTAATAATTAATACTTAAATTTCACATAATAAATAATATATTATATATATTATATATATTATATATATTATATATATTATATATATTATAATATTTTATGTATTCTATATATTCTATAATAAATAATATATCTAAAAATTGTATAATTAAGTAAATAAATATTTTAAACTATTTCTATTTGACATATTCATTAAAGAAACAAAAAAAAAAAAAAACCTAAAAAGTGCCGTTCCCAGGATTCGAACCTGGGTCGAGTCGGCCACAACGACTTATACTAAACCACTATACGAGAACGGCCAAAATCACTTTATTTATATAAGTTTGAAAAGTATAAATTCAATATAGATTAACATTAAATAATAGTAATTATTTTACTAATTTCATATTTATATATAAAAAATTTCTTGACAATTTGATAATAATTTTAATTTAATAATTATTAGAAATCTGAATTTTGATAATAAATTTTCATTAAAATATTAAACATTATTAAAATTAATAATAATATTAACCTTTAATTTTTTTTTTTTAATTTCATATTATTTTTAATATTAATAAATTTAATAAATAAATAAATATATATAAAAGTACTATTAAATGAATAAATACTGAAAACGCATAAAAATTAAAAATTTAAAAAATTAAATAAAAATGCGACCTCCGTGGCTTGAACACGGGACCTTTAGATCTTCAGTCTAACGCTCTCCCAGCTGAGCTAAGGTCGCTAAATTTTAAATCCTTCGAACCGGAGTCGAACCAGTGACATGTTGATTACTATATAATTCTACAGTATTATTTATATAATTTAAGGGATTCTTATTATTAATGGGACCATTTGGTAATTATCATAATTTATAGGATTTGAATTTTGATTAAGTTATTTAAGATTGATTTCTTCTTTTTATTATAATAATATTTTTCATTCTTCTTATCTTTATTATTAATATTGTTGTCTTCCACATCTTCTGCTACGCTCTCATTTTCAATAACAGAGCTATATCCGGAAAATTCTGTAATATTTGAATAAGATAATGAATTTGAAGAAGTAGAAAAAGAATTATTTTGCATTAAATAATTATCTATGATTATTTTATTATTATTTTATGTTTTGTTTTATTTTTTTTGTTGTTATTGTTGTTTTATAAATTATTTTAATTAAAAAAAAAAAAAATTAATAAGTAATGATTCAATTTTTGATTTATGATTTTCAATGGCATATATATTATATTAGAGTATTATACAATAGTTTATATATAATATATGTATATAGCCATTAAAAAATATATAGTATATAATATATTCATTTATATACATGTATAATAAATTTA